CCCTAGACATACTAGCTCTTAATGCACTCCCCTAGAGACACTAGCTCTTAATGCTCTCCCCTAGACACACTAGCTCTTAATGCACTATCCTTGACAGACCAGCTCTTAATGCTCTTCCCTGGACATACTAGCTCTTAATGCACTCCCATGGAGATACTAGCTCTTAATGCGCTCCCCTAGACACACTAGCTCTTAATGCTCCCCTAGACACACCAACTCTTAATGCACTCCCTTAGAGACACTAGCTCTTAATGCTCTCCCCTAGAAACACTAGCTCTTAATGCTCTCCCCTAGACACATCAGCTCTTAATGCCCTCCCCTGGACACACGAGCTCTTAATGCACTCCCATGGACATACTAGGTCTGAATGCACTCCCCTAGACACACTAGCTCTTAATGCACTCCCCTAGACACACCAGCTCTTAATGCACTTCCCTAGAGACACTAGCCGTTAATGCTCTCCCCTAGACACACCAGCTCTTAATAAATGCTCTCCCTTGACACACCAGCTCTTAATGCACTCCCATGGACATACTAGCTCTTAATGCTCTCCCCTAGATACACCAGCTCTTAATAAATGCTCTCCCCTAGACACACCAGCTCTTAATGCTTAATAAATGCTCTCCCTAGACACACCAGCTCTTAATGCTCTCCCCAAGACATACTAGCTCTTAATGCACCCCCCTAGACACACCAGCTCTTAACGCACTTCCCTAGAGACACTAGCCGTTAATGCTCTCCCCTAGACACACCAGCTCTTAATAAATGCTCTCCCTTGACACGCCAGCTCTTAATGCACTCCCATGGACATACTAGCTCTTAATGCTCTCCCCTAGACACACCAGCTCTTTATGCACTCCCATGGACATACTAGCTCTTTATGCACTCCCATGGACATACTAGCTCTTAATGCACACCCCTAGACACACCAGCTCTTAATAAATGCTCTCCCCTAGACACACTAGCTCTTAATGCACTCCCCTAGACACAACAGCTCTTAATGCACTCCCCTAGACACACCAGCGCTTAACAAATGGACTCCCCTAGACACACCAGCTCTTAATGCTCTCCCCTGGACATACTAGCTTGTAATGCTCTCCCCTAGAAACACTAGCTCTTAATGCACTCTCTAGAAGCACCAGCTCTTAATACTCTCCCCAGACACACTAGCTCCTAATGCACTCCCCTAAACACACTAGCTCTGAATACTCTCTGAGCAAACTGTGCACATCCACAGAAAACGTCCTGTCCGCTGGTCATGCACAAGGTGGCTAAGTATATTATACCCTGTCCAGAGCGTATATAGAGAATATCATAATATGATGTTCCCCGAGAGCAGCACACGAGGAATTCGCTGTTAGGCAGCACACAAGTCAATGCGCCATATTGAACGTGAAGCATCATGTATTGTCGTGTAAAACATTAATGAGATAAGGTTATGTATATATATGCCTGCATAAATAATGTTAAAGTCCTGTCGTCTGACTGGATAGAATGTGCATATATTTACAACAAAACTGGTGAACGTTATAGTGAGTGAGTGAATATAGTTTTACACCGCTTTTAGCAATATTCCAGCAACATCACGTCGAGGGACACCAGAAAAGGGCTTCACACATTGTAACCAGGTGGGGAATCGAACCCGGGCCTTCGGCGTGACGAGCGAACGCTTTAACCACGTTATAACATTATGACATAAGAATATAATGTATTATGCAATACATCAAGGTGTTATAACATTATGACATAAGAATAGAATATATTGTGCAATACATTAAGATGTTATAACATTATGACATAAGAATAGAATGTATTGTGCAATACATACATTAAGATGTTAAGATAGTTATTGTGCAACATTATGACATAAGAATAGAATTATTGTGCAACATCACGATGTTATAACATTATGACATAAGAACAGAATGTATTGTGCAACATTAAGATGTTATAACATTATGACACAAGAATAGAATGTATTGTGCAACATTAAGATGTTATAACATTATGACACAAGAAAAGAATGTATTGTGCAACGTTAAGATGTTATAACATTATGACATAAGAATAGAATTATTGTGCAACATTAAGATGTTATGGACAGCATGTTAGTCTAATTTTGTACCAGTGATGTCTTGAGGTGATGGCGAGAATAAATGGTGTTGCTTGAACGTAATGGTCGTATACACATACAAGGTCAGTCACAAACTATCTATATATGTAGAGAGTATATCCACTTTCTCAAAAGCGCTTCAGTTTACACGTGTATATAAAGGCCTGCACACATAGGTGCATGTACGTAGTTCGCATCAACGTGGCCAGTTGTGGCCTGTCAGCGACAGTACAGACACCTACCTATATACATCACGACGGTATACCGAGCACTTGCACACGCACGCACGCGCAGATTTTCAATATTGCATGTGTACGCATTGTCTGCGTAATTGCATGATGCGTAGTGCGTAGTGCGTAGTGAGTAGTGAGTATTACGTGTGCGTTGTGTCCAGTTCCATGTGTACATGTATAAAGGCAATGTGAGGCGTTAATCAAGTCTTTCTTTCTTGTGTGTGCAATGAAAACCACGTGACACTGGGAAACCCTTTGGGAATCCCTCTTCCGGCCTCCGTATAGCTGCGTGATGCGTATTCGTGCACTTTTTTTTAGCGTAAGCAATATCACGCACTACGCAGCACGCGTGCATGGGAACGGCTATTATTATTTCAGTATAGAGTGTTGTTCACGCACTACGCAGCTCGCGTGCATGGAAACGGCTATTACTATATTTTAGTATAAAGTGTTGTTTACGCACTACGCATCACGCACTACGCACAAATGGAAACCTGGCTTTAGAATAAAACAACGCTCGACAAATACACGATTAATTGTTGGCTTGACGTGTGGCTAGTGATATTAAAAGTGTCGATGACAGTGTGTAGTGTATATTCTATATAGCCAGAATTGAGTGTGTGCGCTCCTTTGTATTACCATGCACATGTATAGAGCGTTCATTCCACTGTGTAATTCGAATCAGCTATCCAGTGTCTCCTTCAGCTACGCGTCATATCGCTCGGGGAATATAACACTACACTTGACGCGTATAGCTGTGTTCTCATTTAAAGTCGGGGCCAAAGATTTATAAGTCTTATTTACATGCATGTATGACGAAATTCATACATATGACCTGGTGTCGGGGCGGGACACTAATGGCACCATCCGTCACAGTATGTAATGTATCTACATAATGTTTAATTCATCTGTCACCGTCTACACCGCGTACACCCAGCTAAACCTCGGCGTGATTGCGGCTGCACTCGTCGTCTATCAAACGCTGGGCAAGCGAGCGTTCACGCGTTGTGGAAACTGGTTGTTAATAAACACGTGTCCGTCACAGTATTTTGTCTCTTGGTGTTGAAGCGTGCACACACGGGTTGTGACTGATGGAGTACTTGTCGATACCCGTGATATGTCTCCCGGCACGAAGAAGTTGGTGCTACAACCCTGTTTATTATATTGTTCTAAAACCAGTGTGTTTCTTTCTAATTACCATCAATTATACATGGCAGTCTCGCGGGTTTGATTGACCTTTCTCCGTGGAAAAGAACAGGTACAATCGGCGCTCCAACACGTATCGCTTTGATGCGTGTGTATCGAGATCCGGGGCTCTATTAATAATTGATTATTATAGAACCGAAGATTTATATCACTGACAGAAACCGAGGGAACGCTAGATAAATGTCCTATTCCTGGACAATAAAAGTGATATTTCTTTACTTGCCTTGGGTGCTTCAAGTAGAAACAAAATATTACAAACTAATTAATCCAGCAGTACACCAGTAGTAACCTTAGTTGTTTGTAAGTACATTACTGCCATATAGCTAGAATATTGCTGCCATATAGCTAGAATATTGCTGCCATATAGCTAGAATATTACTGCCATATAGCTAGAATATTGCTGCCATATAGCTAGAATATTGCTGCCATATAGCTAGAATATTGCTGCCATATAGCTAGAATATTACTGCCATATAGCTAGAATATTGCTGCCATATAGCTAGAATATTGCTGCCATATAGCTAGAATATTGCTGCCATATAGCTAGAATATTGCTGCCATATAGCTAGAATATTGCTGCCATATAGCTAGAATATTGCTGCCATATAGCTAGAATATTGCTGCCATATAGCTAGAATATTGCTGCCATATAGCTAGAATATTACTGCCATATAGCTAGAATATTGCTGCCATATAGCTAGAATATTGATGAGTGCGGCCTTACAAACCCTCAAACCAATGTCAGTACAATATGGCTTAATTTGTTCTTAACACCCACTATTTATGAATATCTGACTGTAGACGGATGTAACCTACTAATTTACGAGGCTTGTTTCAGATATCTATGGGAGTTGTTTAAAGTCGGGCGGGGCCAACGAGATCTTACTTACATATCTACTTACTCCATCACCCTCGACAACCATGTGTATGCATTGTGATGACACAAACAAGCGTTAGGAAGCTCAATTTAAAAAAAATTCCAAGTAAATATAGCATGTACAATATATATTGTTTTAATCGGAATAGATCGGAAAACTTGATAGAACATCTGACAGAAACATGTTCGCTTTATTGTTTAAGGTTGTCTGTCTAAGGAGCTAAAAAATGTCTGGAAAAAGATGGTAGTCAAATTACGTGATGTCTGCAACTTGTAATCCCAAGACAAGACGTGAGATCAGATCAAAGAATCACCGCAAATATTTGATTGGTCAGCGGGGCTGGTATGGGAGTACCCACTTCCATAGCGGGGGTGGCCGGCACTTGTTGCCAGGTCCCATGTCAACAAATAAGACGCGCTGCGCTTTTTTACCCTGGTTGAAAGGTCCTCAAGAGTATTGAAATAAACTGTAGGAGGTGTCTATGACACACTTAGATTCGATTCACATGCGCGGAATGTAGTGACGAGTCTGTAAATCACTTGTCACCCCCCACGATCTAACGGTACCACAGTTCGCCTTGATTTAACGAGCGAGCGTGGTGTGGCGGTAGGATGTAAACATTGCCAGTGTGTAGGGAGAGGGATATGGCCGGGAGTAGTGGACACGTGGGTCAGCTGGCTGGACATACTGGATACCTAGTGACATCATGACAGAATATATCGGCAAGGACGAGCACACCCTGCGTTCTCTTGTAAGTTTATGTGTACACACTTCATATGCTCCGCCGAACAAGTTCACATGTTTCTATTGTTTAGGATGGACAACCTGCAGAAACATGTCGATCTCAAATAATCTTCCTAATAGATTTAAGAGCATTTCGCAATTGAAATAAAAGCTATAAACCTCGTGACAATGCGCCGACCTATATCCATGCTGGTCTGACAGAATTATGTAGGCAGAAGACATAACCTGCCGCCTAATGACAGGACACTCTGCTGTCGGGCCGGCGTTACTCGGCAGTATATTTAGTGAATGGCATTGGCTGTAATATGTTTACACACGAGTGGGTACAGGCACTGCTTCAGTACAACAAACGATAACGATATGGAGAAATGAGCATTAAAATATTTGTACTGAATATATGCATTGTTTACATATTGTTTACTGATGATGTTTATCATATGGCGAAATATTGTCCTTTTTATGTGTATGACATTGTTGTGTATCCTTTGATGTGTACGACACAGTTTATTGTCAATGACATGTCAATAGCATTAAGGAAGTGCACAGACATATTCAGTATTTCTTTGTGTTAAAGTATTCATCATCCAAGGAAACAATGCACAGTGAATATTGTTACCTTTACTGTTGCGCCCATAAGATATGTGACAAATTACAGTTCCTATGCCTGAAGTCCAGACATCTTGGTCTAATGATGTGAATTACAATGTGTCAGGTAAACGCAACATTACATTTTATGTGTAATGTATGATGGTTGATTGTGTTTCAGTATTTGCTGGTAACGTAGGTAATTTGACACTGATCAATATTCATGATTTCTGGCATTAACAAAATATAGGCAAGTACTATCAACAGATGACAGCTTGAAATTACAACTCGGTGAAACCAATGGAATATATTTTTGTGTCAACAGCACATTCATATTTGCCACCAAACTTGACTGCAGTATGAGTTTCTCAGATTAAATATTGAGATATGACAATTTGATAAGGTTAGCAAACATTCCTTGTTCAACAGAATAACTGCAAATACATTCTGATCAGGGAAACAAGATATTTGATATGGCATACTTTTGTGACACGCCTCTATAATAATCATTATCATAATCATAATGTAGTGTTTAACGAGTAAATAATTCCGAAATGTGTCCCAACCTTTTTGTTCACTGTCATGTAATGAAGTTAATATATGTGTCAGAGTGTGTTAATGGCTGTCCACAGCAAGCCGTGTGAAGGAAGAAAAACACTGCATGAATGTCGGGAATGAAAGATAAACATGGCCGTCATGATTGAAATCAATAACACTTATCAGAGTCCCTTTTCTTGCAGGGTTACACAAACATATAGAAAATGTCTTGTGAGAAAAGTAATATCTACAAGTTTTATCGGCATGTAATAAACCTTTAATCGATTATCTTATTTATCTTTTTCATTATTTGCTGTGAATACCTGAGCTTGCCTAGGCTTGATGTTTTATACCTGATGTTCACAGTTGTCCAGGGAAGAGGGAAGGTACAGATTCAGTAACATATCTTTGTTAACATTTGTGTTGTGTGTATGGAGTACGAAGGTGTAGTAACCGAACAGGAGAGACTCCATACCTGTCTACCTTAGGACGAGAGGAACAAACAGGTGTTTTACAATAGTGGTATAGGTACATCTCGGGTGCGATGTTAGGTTCACGATGTAGTAGTAGAAGTAGTGATGGTAATAATAGTAGCGGCTGTAGTTGGTTGGTTTGTTGTTTAACTCTGCACTCAGCAATATTCCAGCTATATGGTGGCAGTCGGTAAATAATCGAGTTTGGCCCAGACAATCCAGTGATCAACAGCATGAGCATCAATCTACGCAATTGGGATACATTGACGTGTGTCAGCCAAGTCAGTGAGCCTGACCACCTGATTCCGTTAGTCGTTTCTTGTGACAAGCATGGGTTGCTGAAGACCAATTCTTGTAGTTGAAGGAGGAAACTAAAGTTTGTCCTTGAAGACATCATGTTGAGTGTTCCAGTATTTGGTCTCCCCAGTGTCGGAGGTGTGTTGAGGGGGATGTACATACCATATACACAGTCTCTGACCAGAAAAACATACACACCTATCTATAAGTGTAGTTTGATGTTAAAGTTTATGATATATTAACAGAAAGTTACTTGAAGTATAATTTGTACTGGATTACATTTGTTGTTTACTACTTTGTTTCCATGGTTACCACAGTGCTAAGTATCACTTACAAAGTAGAGTAGACTGAGATTGGCAGTGTTCAAGCAGGTTTACTGCACAGCATGTTGTGAAGTGAGCTCCTGAACATGTACAGGGTGGATCAAGTGGAGTTGTGTCATGTTTATGATAGTACAGCTGCATCACGGAGCTTTGTGGCATATTAGACACCAGCACCCTCTTAACCAAAATTTATGTTTCTTTTCATGTTTAACACTCAGCTGTGTGACAATGTCTTGTAGATAAATAAGTCTGGATCAGACAAGCTTGGGGTTGACATTATGAGCACTGATCCATGCAGTCAGGGTGTAAAGACACAGTGTCAACCAATATGCTAAGTTGGATCTCTATATGCATTAAGCTGCTTCTTCCGACAAGCACAGTTTGCCAGAGACCTAACCCAGTGTTCCAGAGGGGATCACAGGTTATGACAACTTGAGATGAAATAGTCCCTTTCCTATCTGACATTTATGAAACTTTCTCATGTTTCTCTATTTGACTGTTTGCCATATAACCTGTCATAATATTCTATTCATTGCAAATAAGACCACCTTTGTTAAATCAAGTCAGGTATGAACAACCAGGCTCTGTGATATGTTAAATCCACATTCACGTACATTAGGCCAGATACTTTTATAGTTGGTTCACCTTTCAGAGCATGAAGTCCTCATATGATATTCGCAAGAATGACATGTGACAATTACTCTTTGGTTGGTTGAATGATTGACTGATTGAGCAATATTCCAGCTATATGGTGGTGGTCTGTAAATAATCAAGTCTGAACCAGGCAATCCAGTGATCAATAGCATGAGCATCATTCTACACATTTGGGATCTGATGACATGTACCAACCAAGCCAGCGAGCCTGACCACCTGTTCCTGTTAGTCGCCTCTTACGACAAGCATGGGTTACTGAAGACCAGTATTTACTCTTTGGATGCCTCCCTTCTAAAATGAGATCTAAAGAAAAAACAACAAGATTAGATTCTGTTATTGCCACTGCATGATGTGTAAGTAATGATGATTAATATGTATGAATATCCTTATTCTAATGAAAGGTCAGTGATATATTTCTGTGTGTTTTGCTATAGTGAAGCATGGTTTATTTATATATTCATAGGACTAGGAGTATTAGTTTGTTAAAAAAGTAGAATTTGAAATAAAACCCCAGCTCTGCAACCACCTGCACTGAATTTGAGGTCAAACTATATTTCAAACCTTCTCAGGCCAGACCAATTTAATTTCTTGTTTTACGGATTTTTGTCCTCAGAAAACCTAAAGGCAGGAGGGAAATAAATAAAAATATAATCACCAGTCAAAGTAATATTCCTTCTAAATACTCAAAGTATTTTACTTTTGGCAATTTATGAAGTGTATATTGGGCAAAAAACAATCTAAAAAAGAAATTTCTTGTAAGTTTACATTTGTGGCCAATAAAAACATTAGGATTTTATTTTTTTGAGCAGGGAAAATTCTTTTTTTTTTTTCTTCTTATTCTTGAAAAAATATGACAGGCGGATCCATAAAACAAGAAATAATATTGGTCTGGCCTCATTATAAATAAGATGCTTCACATGCAGTGTTTTTACTAAATACTAGTATCTCATTTACTTGGTGTGTATTGCATGGTTTTATGTGTTGTAATATTTATTTCATCTCTGGAGCTGTCTAAAACATTGTTTCATTAATGTACTTGTTAGGCTCCTTATAGACAGAGTGATGCCATGTTAGCATGATTAAAGTGTACAGTGCGTCACTTTCAGCTATACAAACAGTCCTATTTTAACCAGTATGTATACTTCAGTTACCATGACTACTGGCGTTAATCTGTAAGTCATGTATAATTTTCCGGTTTTGTGACAATCCATTTATTTCAAACTGATGACACCAGATACAGGAAATATTGCATGAAGCTGAACATTTGGGAAGATTGTGTAGAACACCTAACGTTATGTATATGCTAGCGATACAGGTTTAGATTCAGTCTAGTGTCTGCTGGGGAGGTGCACCTATGTCAGGGTACAGTACCTCTCCATGTCGCTGCTGATCAAGGCATTGTGTAGGAAACTGCCCCTGTACAAGCTTGTTGTCAAGTAGTGCAATTACCTTGTTCCTGGTTCAGTGGAACAACGGAAGGCAGCACTTCAATAGAATCAGATTGGGAGGATGTACTACCATAGTCGCTTCCATGCTGTATAGTTGAGGGATGGGCTACTATAGTCGCTTCCATGCTGTATAGTTGAGGGATGGGCTACTATAGTCGCTTCCATGCTGTATAGTTGAGGGATGGGCTACTATAGTCGCTTCCATGCTGTATAGTTGAGGGATGGGCTACTATAGTCGCTTCCATGCTGTATAGTTGAGGGATGGGCTACTATAGTCGCTTCCATGCTGTATAGTTGAGGGATGGGCAGTAAGTCGCTTCCATGCTGTACAGTTGAGGGATGGGCTACTATAGTCGCTTCCATGCTGTATAGTTGGGGGATGGGCAGTAAGTCGCTTCCATGCTGTATAGTTGAGGGATGGGCTACTATAGTCGCTTCCATGCTGTATAGTTGAGGGATGGGCTACTATAGTCACCTCCATGCTGTATAGTTGAGGGATGGGCTACTATAGTCACCTTCATGCTGTATAGTTGAGGGATGGGTTACTATAGTCGCTTCCGTGCTGTATAGTTGAGGGATGGGCTACTATAGTCGCTTCCGTGCTGTATAGTTGAGGGATGGGCTACTATAGTCACCTCCATGCTGTATAGTTGAGGGATGGGCTACTATAGTCACCTTCATGCTGTATAG